TAAAAATGAATTTCATGAAAAATAAGGGAATAAATCTAGTCAAAATGATGAGAGACTAAAAATGAATTTCATAAAAAGATTAGAGACTAAAAATATAATTTTTAAAAAAATACACATGGTTGTTAATGGAGGCCCGTGGGCCAAGTTACTAGGTCTATGGTCCAAAGGTTGGAGGAGGAGTGGGCTAACACAAAGGAAAAATCCATGGTGCTCTTTAGTTGGGTTATGACTAAAGCCCATGTAGATTAGGTCTAACCCATCTGGACTTGTAATTTTGGTTATGGGCTTTGTATTGTGGCCAAGTAGGGTAGGTTTAGTTTAGGCCATGTATTTCGGCCATTCTAGGTTTAGAATTGAACATGTGCATGTGCAACTTCATTACCATGTAATTTAGATTACATTGAGTTGCATTTGGGACCATGTGACCGACCATGTGGATTGGTGCACATTGCATGCTTCAAATGCAACCCAAATGCATTTTAAATCATATTTAAATGAAGCATGCACATGGTAGCACATGAATGAGGGTTTGGTCGGTCCAAATTTAAATTTTTGAATTTAAATTTGGCACCTAAGATTAATCTAAACCATACCATGGTTTAGAGTAACCTTAGGTTAAGCTGGCTTCCTCCACACACTTCATTCTGCCTATATATATCCAGTTAGGTGTGTAATTTCATACTTTTGAGCAATATATGAGAGCATTCTTTAGCAATTCTCTCCCTAGTCAAAAGTCCCTTGTGAGAGTTATTCTCTAAATTGCCTTGAGCTATCCTTTTTGTAGCTTTAGGCTTAGGCTCCTTCTACCGAGGAACTTGGTTCTCATTTGGATCAACACTACTCCTTCTTTTATTTGGTTCAAGTCCTTGAATGATCCTCAAGGAATACAAGAAAGAGCTTGTGAGAAGAATCCATGGAGTTTCCATCATCCAAGGCTCCATCAATTGTCACGTAATTAGTTAGATTAATCGATGATATGATAGTTAATGTGGCTGCCAACATGATTTTCACATAGTTAATAGTAGTATTGACAATGAAAACAAAAATATTAATGAATAAAAAGTTAAGGATTAAAGATCAATCAATTTTTTGTTTAAAGACTAAAAATTAAATTTTAAAAAAATTAAAGCTAACAACATATCTAATCCAAAAAATAATAATAATAATAAAATGATTGAATTTAATTTTATAAATATCTAAAAAGAAAAATACATTATAAGGTGTTACATATAAAAATTCTAAGTTGATTATTGGTATTGTGTAACGACCCGGCTGGTCACTACACGCGGCACAGCACACTAGAAACCCCACACAGAAAAGAACAAGTGTATACATATAGGGTCTAGAATATATACATATACATGATCCAATCTGGATAGAGTTAAAGTGTACAAAAATACAATCAAGTGCTACTACCCCAAGTAGCTCAACAACAAAACAATCACAAAAGAGATCAGCTCCGTCGGTCCGCTGAAGACTCACCACTAGCCACAAACCTATCCCTGCTCTGCTCCCACACATAGTATGATCATCGCAGCCCAAACATCATGGAGACAACAAACGGGTAAGCTAGTGAAAAGAAATCAACATACAAATAACAGGGTAATAACAAGAAGCTACAACTTATACTATAACACAGCTTTCAACAATATCAGCACCGCGAAGCAGCATTATCAGCACTGCGTAGCAGCAATAACAGCACCACTCAAGTGGCTATAACAGCACCGACTTAGCGGCTATAACAACACCACAATATTGGCCATACACAGCATACAGCTCAGCTAACACTACACAGCCAAACAGCTCACAGCACAACACATCAAATTAGCGTACAGTATGGCTAAAAAGTATTCACAACATCTTACTATTCACAACTCAACTCATCCTTCTAGAGCATAGAGATAACATAATTCATCAATTCAAATCATCAATAGCAGCCCAGCTCAGCACAACATTACATCTATTACAGCTTAACATCTTATATCAGCATTTTTATTTAAACAGCTCAGCATATTCATCAATTTTCAGCTTAGTTCAGCATAAAACAACCTCTCTCAGCAATTTCAGCAGAGTTTAATAGCTAATAACACATTAAGTCAACATCCTAATACGCGCCTGGCGCACCCATGGTCGCGCCCAGTGCAGCTCACCCAGAGAGCATCAGGGGCCATTGCGCCCAACGCAGGACTGCTCGCGCCCAGCGTGACCCCCTCACGCGCCTGGCGCAATTTAGAATTGCGCCCAACGCTTGCCAGGCAGAGACCCCATGGAGTCTCACGCGCCCAGCGTGCCTAGGCCTGCGCCCAGCGCGGGGAAGGCAGAGACCTCCCCTTGGTATCGCGCCCAGCGCAATTTGAATTGCGCCCAGCGCCATCCTGGCAGAGACTCCCAAGGAGTCTCGCGCCTAGCGCGACTAGGGTCGCGCTCAGCGCAGAACCACCACCCAAAAACAAGTCACATAATGCCTGCGCGCTCGGCGCTATCCTTGACCCGCCCGGCGTGGGCTAACCAGAGGCTCACCTTCTCAAGCTCGCCCGGTGCACACATCCTTGCGCCCGACGGGCATGTCAAAAAGGAGCCCCCAGGTGGTCTCGCGCCCGGCGCGAAGAACCGCGCTCAGTGCGAGGCTCGGCAACAACACTCTATCTTCGAAAAACTTAACCAAATCCTGCAAAAACAGCTAGAAAATCCACATGCAACACCACCAAAAGCTCACATTTTCATCAAACATCTCAAAAATACTATCTTTTCACACATGCGACCATTAAAATCAAAAAAACCAAATTCCACCCAAAACCCCATAGTCAAGTTTACTTCCATTTCAGCCAAGATCAACAAATGAACCCCAACAATGAGCTCCTTGAGCCCCATTTCAGCCAATCAACTTGAAGACAACTAGCTTCCCTTACCTCAAATCAAGAAATCCTAGCTTCCGAAAAAGGAGAAACGAGTAGAAGATGAAATGAGCTTGAGCGGGGAAGAGAAGGGAAGAATGTCCACAGCCACAGCAACCCAACCCTTCAAGAATCAGCACCTTGAGACAGCAAGGAGAAATCAATGAGGGGGGGGGGGAAAGGAATGAAAGAGTGGGAATGAGAGTGAGTGAGAGGAGAGTGTCGGGGGGGGAAGAAGAAAGAAAAGAAAAGGGGTGTCTCACAACCTCCCCAACAACAAGAGTTTTCGTCCCTGAAAACAGACTTACTTGGGAAAAGAAATGGGTACCGCTCCCTGCACTGCTGCTTCACTTCCCAAGTAGCCTCACCGGTAGCTGCATCCCATAGTACCTTCACCAGAGCAATGGACTTGCCCCTCAGCTCCTTCAGCTTATGATCCACTACAGCTACTAGCAACTTCTCATTTGTCAGGTTCTCCTTCACTTGTACATCGTCCAGCTCCACCACATGACTAGGATCATGAATATATACTTCCTCAGTTGAGACACATGAAATACATCGTGTAGGTTTGAAAGGGACGGTGGCAAGGCCAACCGGTAAGCAACTAGACCTACATGCTGTATGATCTGATGGGGACCCACAAACCTCGGTGTCAACTTCCTTGCCTTCAGCACTCTACCCACACCGGAAGTCGGAGTCACCTTTAGAAACACATGCTCCCCTTCGGCAAACTCCAAAGGCTTACGCCTTTTATCAGCATATGATTTCTGCCTACTCTGAGCAGTCTTCATCCTCTCCTGAATCATCTTCACTTTCTCAATAGTCTGTAAGATCAGCTCCGGTCCCACAACCACTGTCTCACCATCCTGATACCAGCACAGAGGAGTCCTACATCTCTTGCCATACAAGGCTTCATATGGCGCCATCCCAATGCTAGTATAAAAACTGTTGTTATAAGTAAACTCCACCAGCGGTAGGACCTCCTCCCAGCTACCCAAGTGTTCTAACACACAAGCCCTCAGCAGATCCTCCAAGGACTGGATTGTCCTCTCTGACTGACCATCCGTCTGTAGATGATAAGCAGAACTCAACTTCAGCTTCGTGCCTAGGGCTTGATGTAGACTTTTCCAAAATCTAGAAGTGAACCTCGGATCTTGGTCAGAAATAATACTAGAAGGCACCCCATGCAACCGACCAATCTCCTCCCCATCCAACTGTGTCGACTTCCCCAAGGACCACTTGATCCTGACAGGCAAGAAATGCGCACACTTGGTCGACCGGTCAACAATCACCCAGATAACATCACTATTCCTAGCTGACCTAGGCAACCCCACAATAAAATCCATAGTAATGCTATCCCATTTCCACTCGGGAATCTCAATCTACTACATCAACCCACTCAGCTTCTAATGCTCAACCTTCACCTTCTGACAAGTCAGACAGGCCGCCACATACTCAGCTATTTCCCTCTTCATACCAGACCACCAGAAAGTCTTCTTAAGGACTTGGTACATCTTAGTCATACCCGGATGTATGCTAAGCATGCTCTTGTGGCCTTCCTCCAACAGGGCTCTCTTCAGCTCGGCATCCTGAGGTAGGCAAATTCTGCCCTTAAACCTCAAGATTCCATCTTCTCCCAGCTCAAAACCAATAGCCTTCTCGGTACCCAACAAACCAAGAAGCTTCGTCGGCTCAACGTCTTGCAACTGCTTGAGTCCAACCTGCCTCAAGAACTCATTAGTTATGGTAATCATCCCACAACTAATGTGATCCTGAGCTAACTCCACACAGAGATTCAAATCTCTGAACTCCTCAACCAGCTCCAGCTCCTTCATCATCATACTCGACATGTGGATGGATTTCCTACTCAGCGCATCTGCCACCACATTGGCCTTGCCCGGATGATACATCAACTGAAAGTCATAATCCTTCAGAAACTCCATCCACCGCCTTTGCCTCATGTTCAACTCCTTCTGATCAAACAAGTACTTCAGACTCTTGTGATCACTGAAGACACTGAACCGAGCACCATACAAGTAATGCCTCCATATCTTCAAGGCAAACACCACAGTTGCTAATTCCAGGTCATGAGTAGGATAAATCCTTTCATGATTCTTCAGTTGCCTTGAAGCATACACCACCACTCTCCTGTTTTGCATCAACACACACCCCAGACCCTGGTGAGAAGCATCACAGTACACATCAAAAGGCTCACCAAAATCTGGCAATACCAACACAAGAGAAGTAGTCAATCTCCGCTTCAGCTCATCAAAGCTCCGCTCACAAGCATCTGTCCAGATGAACGACTGCTCCTTCCGTGTCAGCTAGGTTAGAGGCGCTACTATCTTAGAGAATCCTTCAATGAACCTCCTACAGTAACCCACCAAACCCACAAAACTCCTAATATCCGTGACAGTCCTTGGACGCTCCCACTGTAACACCGACTCCACCTTAGCCGGATCAACAACAATCCCCTCAGCTGAGATCACATGTCCCAAGAACTTCACCTCATCCAACCAGAACTCGCATTTTGAAAGCTTAGCATACAGCTGCTTTGCCTTCAAAATCTCCAGCACTGTCCTCAAGTGCTCACCGTGCTCTTCCCGGGTCCTTGAATAAATCAAGATGTCATCAATGAACACCACAACAAACTTATCCAAGAACGGCCGGAAGATCCTGTTCATGTAGTCCATGAACACTGCGGGGGCGTTGGTCACACCGAACGGCATCACAACATATTCATAGTGACCATACCTAGTCCTGAAAGCAGTCTTCGGTATGTCACCCTCCTTCACCCTAATCTGGTGATAGCCTGACCTCAAGTCAATCTTAGAAAACACCGATGCTCCCCTCAATTGATCCATTAAGTCATCTATCCGGGGAAGTGGATATTTGTTCTTAATGGTCAACTTGTTTAGCTGCCGGTAATCAACACACAGTCGACTACCTCCATCTTTCTTCCTTACCAATAACACCGGAGCACCCCACGGCGAAACACTCAGCCGCACCAGCTGCTTTTCCAACAGGTCCTCCAACTGACCCTTCAGCTCAACCAGCTCAGCAGGAGCCATCCTATAGGGAGCCACCGACCCTGGTCCCGCACCTGGAACCAAGTCAATGCCAAACTCCATCTCCCTAATAGGAGGCAACCCAGACACCTCATCCGGGAACACCTCAGCAAAATCCCTTACTACACCAATATCCGCTAAGACCCTCTCGGTCTCCACACTCATAGCAGCAAGTAGAAGACAACATTCTGCTCCATCTCTCAGCAATGACTCAGCTTGGCTAGCTGAGATCAACAGCTCATCCTCCACCTGAGGAAAACTTAACCTCCTATTGGCACAATCTATAAGAATGCGATTTGCAGACAACCAATCCATCCCTAAGATTATGTCAATATCCACTAAAGGTAAACAAATCAAGTTCACCTTATACTTCTTCTCAATCCCCACAATCGGACAACCAGCACACAACTCAGAAGCAACTACCGAAGCAGAAGCGGGCGTCGACACTAGAAGTCTCAACCCCAAATCGCACACAGGCACACCCAACATAGCAGAACATGCATAAGATATAAAGGAATGTGAAACACCAGAATAAAAAAGAATCATCACATCCTTACCAGCAGCTTTGCCCTTCCTCTTCACAAGGTCAGAAGAAGTCGAAGCCTCAGCACCCGTCAAAGCAAATACCCTACCAGCGGTAGTGGGTCTGTCACCCTTCTGAGTATCAGCTCTCTGCACACTACTCCTCTGAGTATCAGCCCTCTACACATCACTCCTCTGAGTACTCCTTTCTAGTCTGTTCCTAGCAGGACAGTTGGCCGACTCGTGACCCATCTGATGACATCTGAAACAACGGCTCTCTATGTGCGGACAAACCCTGACAAAATGGGGCCCAACACACCTGTAACATCTCAGAGTGGCACCTCCACCCTGTCTACCTCCACCAGCAGCACCAGAAGGCTGCCTAATGACAGAACCCCCTTGCTGTGGTTGGGGCCTATCATATGGCTTCCTCTGATTCCCACCTCTCTTGGACCCAGATGGCCCCTCAACAGTCTTCACAGCATGGTTACCTCCTTCCAACCGCTCAACAACCTTCGCCTTCTCCACTAAGGCCGGAAACTCGGTGATGGCCAGAGGCACCACCACCCTCTTCAGCTCATATCTCAGTCCATCAACAAACTTCCTGCATTTCCAGGCCTCAGCTATACCTTGCGAATAAAAATGAGCTAGGTGCTCGAATCTCATCGCATACTCCGAAATTGTCATCCCTCCCTGATGCAGTCGCATAAACTCAGCCTCCTTGGCGTGCCTCACACTCTCAGGAAAGTACTTCTCCATGAACACTGTCCTGAAGCACTCCCAATCAACTGTAACTCCTCTAGCAGCAAGCATCTGATAAGTGCCCCTCCACCAATGTTCAGCCTCTCCCACAAGCATATACACAGCATATGTCAGCCTCTTCTCCGGAGAACATCCCAGAACAGCAAAGATCTTCTCCAACTCACATATCCATCGGTCAACTGCCTCTGGATCTGCATCCCCCGTGAACTGTGGAGGATGGCATTTCCAGAATTCAGCAAGATCCCGGATCTCTTGTGACCCCGTGGGCCTTGCTGCACCAGCTGCAGCTCTCTCAGCCTCCGCCCTAGAAAAATAGGCATTTTGCTATTGCATAGCCATAACCATCATCTCTATGGCACGGGCTATCTGCTCGTTGGTTCTAGTCATTGTCTACAAAAGTAACAGCATCTTCAGTACACAATAACTAAACCAAACAACAATCAATCAGCACAACAAATCATCACGGCAATCAGCACAGCAAACAACATAGCAAAATAGCGCTACACAGAGCTCAACACAACAAAAGCCTAAAAGGAACCACCCCCAAAGAGTGTCCACTAGACTCAAACTGCTCTGATATCACTAACGTGTAACGAGCCGGCTGGTCACTACACACGACACAACACACCAGACACCCCACACAGAAAAGAACAAGTGTATACATATAGGGTCTAGAATATATACATATACATGATCCAATATGGATAGAGTTAAAGTGTACAAAAATACAATCAATTGCTACTACCCCAAGTAGCTCAACCACAAAACAATCACAAAAGAGATCAGCTCTGCCGGTCCGCTGAAGCCTCACCACTAGCCACCAACCTATCCCTGCTCTGCTCCCATACATAGTAGGATCATCGCAGCCCAAACATCATGGAGACAACAAAAGGGTAAGCTAGTGAAAAGAAATCAACATACAAATAACAGGGTAATAATAAGCAGCTACAACTTATATTATAACACAACTTTCAACAATATCAGCACCGCGAAGCGGCATTATCAGTACTGCGTAGCAGCAATAACAGCACCACTCAAGTGTCTATAACAGCACCGCAAAGAGGCAATAACAACACCGACTTAGCGACTATAACAACACTACAATAGTGGCCATACACAGCAGACAACTCAGCTAACACTACACAGCCAAACAGCTCACAACACAGCACATCAAATCAGCATACAGTATGGCTAAAAAGTATTCATCACATCTTACTATTCACAACTGAGTTCATCCTTCTAGAGGATAGCGATAATATAATTCATCAATTCAAATCATCAATAGCAGCCCAGCTCAGCACAACATTACATCTATTACAGCTTAACATCTTATATCAGCATTTTTATTTAAACAGCTCAGCATATTCATCAATTTTTAGCTTAGTTCAGCATAAAACAACCTCTCTCAACAATTTTAGCAGAGTTTAACAGCTAATAACACATTAAGTCAACATCCTAATACGCGCCCGGCGCACCCATGGTCGCGCCCAGCACGGGGAAGGCAGAGACCTTCCCTTGGTCTCGCACCCAGCGCAATTTGAATTGCGCCCAGCGCCATCCTGGCAGAGACTCCCAAGGAGTCTCGCGCCTAGCGCGACTAGGGTCGCGCTCAGCGCAGAACCACCACCCAAAAACAAGTCACACACTGCCTACGCGCTCGGCGCGATCCTTGACCCGCCTGGCGTGGGCCAACCAGAGGCTCACCTTCTCAAGCTCGCCCGGCGCACACATCCTTGCGCCCGACAGGCTTGTCAAAAAGGAGCCCCCAGGTGGTCTCGCGCCCGGCGCGAAGAACCGCGCTCAGCGCGAGGCTCGGCAGCAACACTCCATCTTCGAAAAACTTAACCAAATCCTGCAAAAACAGCTAGAAAATCCACATGCAACATCACCAAAAGCTCACATTTTCATCAAACATCTCAAAAATACTATATTTTCACACATGCAACCATTTTAATCAAAAAAACCAAATTCCACCCAAAACCCCAAAACCCCATAGTCAAGTTTACTTCCATTTCAGCCAAGATCAACAAATGAACAAACAACAATGAGCTCCTTGAGCCCCATTTCAGCCAATCAACCTGAAAACAACTAGCTTCCCTTACCTCAAATCAAGAAATCCTAGCTTCCGGAAAAGGAGAAACGAGAAGAAGATGAAATGAGCTTGAGCGGGGAAGAGAAGGGAAGAATGTCCACAGCCACAGCAACCCAAACCTTCAAGAATCAGCACCTTGAGACAACAAGGAGAAATCAATGAGGGGGGGCAAAAAGGAATGAAAGAGTGGGAATGAGAGTGAGTGAGAGGAGAGTGTCGGGGAGAGAAAAAGAAAGAAAAGAAAAGGGGGGTCTCACATATTGTACACACTAATAATTATAATTGTACCATCTCGAATATATTCGAAGATGGGTTTATCGTGAAGTTGGGCCGAGTACCCCAAATATTGAGTTGAGAGGGATGTATCTAAAATGTTGCAATTTATCAACCCATACATATCTCAGTCCAGAGATATCAGAATAAATCCAATTTAAAATCCATATTCGAGATAAAATCTTATTAGTCAAAGATCATGATAATTAATAATCTCCTATCAAATCCTGAGATTCTCAACATGCATAAACTCATAGTAGTTAAATATAAAAATCCTAACCTTAATAAAAAAAGACAAATTATACTCTTAAGTTTTGGTTTTGATTGATCGCCTAAAACAAAACCTAGATACCCTCTAGACTATAATAATAGTAATAATGTATTATAAATTGAAAAATTAATAATTATAACTTTTACTGTATAAATACTTTAAGTATCACTTTACTCTTATAAATAAAATTAAAAAACCATAATTTCTTATTAAAAAATATTCAATCCCGCTTCGGAGAAGGAAAATTAATAATTAATAATACAAGATAAGCCATCAATATCTTATATATTTTATTTTATTTTTATAAAAAGGGTTGAGACAACTTTTAAATGTCAAAATGAAGGAGTTGCTAATAATCACAGAAATTTCCATTTATTTTTTGTTTGGAAAAAAGTGGACAGGACACAGCTTATAAAGGACAAAAAGGAAGGACTTCTTAAAAATGATCACATGCAGTTAGATTAGAAGTCGCAATTTTGTAACAATTGTTAATTCAACTAAAACAATATAGATATTCCCAATTAATTAAGTGTGAGAAAGTTTCAATGTCGGTAAAATATAGTAATATTTACAATGACATGCGAATGATACAACAATATGGACAATATTTCTCTATTATTTCATGTATGTGCTCCACATTGATCGTTGCATCTTATTGTCTTTTTTGTTGTCCTTTCTATTGTTTTAAATTTTGTGTCCCCATTAGGTATCCATGCATGTCACTGCTTTTAATTCTTCTTCAGAGTGTATATGGTTGAATTTGATTTAATTTTTCAACAAATTGTGTAACACAATATTATTTTTATCTATTAATAATTTATTTTAAAAATATTAAAATTTAATTTATAAATAATTATAATAAATAAAAATTAAATTAGATATAAAGTTAAAAACATTTAAAATCTCTATTATTAAATATTTTTAAAAAGATATTCATTCGATTGTCATTTATGTTATATATATATATATTTATGAAGTAAAAATTAAAAAGATGTAATAAGAAAATTTTATTGTTGCATAAAATAATATATGAAATTTTACCTATATATTTATTTTGACTTAAATATATTGTTTTCATGTAAAATTGAGGGATTTTGTTTTTATTTTTTTTTTCAATTTTATTATTGTAACTTTTTTTGTTTCGTTTTCATCATTTGTGTTAGATTGACCTTTAATTTCTTCATGTTGACCCTTTAATTTTAACAGAGAAAAGTTATAAAAAAAAATTATAACGTCCAAAATAGAAAAGTCATAGAATTATAGGACTAATGTTTGAAAGAAAAAAAAAGTCAAAATTTAGAAGGATTAAAATAAAAATAATTAAAATTTGAAGAAATCAAAATGAAAGTAACTAAAGTTAAGAGGATAAGAAAAAATATAATATTATTTTATAAGATTTATTGAAGCAAAAATTATAAAATTTAAACTTTTAAATACAATAAATTCACTATTAAAGAATAATAAATAAATAAATAAATAAATAAATAAATAAATAATGTCTTTGTTACTAGTAAAAATATAATACCAATTAAAGGCACACCTTAAAAGTCATACAATGATACAATTATTCAAATTTATCTTTGTTTGTTTTGTATTTTTTTTTCATTTGTTATATTTCCCTCCCAACAAATAAGATAATTACATTAGTACATGACTTTTATGAAATTTTGTTTAAGATTTAATTTTTTAATTGGTAAGTAAAAAATTAAGGTTTAAACTTTATAAATTTACATTACAATAAAATGATTTTTTAGTGACATTTAATATGATTTTTAGTGGTAATAAAAATTATTGTAAAATCTTTTATTAGCATTTCTACATTAACCATTGTATGCAGTGATTTTTGTGACATTTTTAACTGGTATTTAATATTTCTTTGTTATTGCTACTAAAAGTTTAATAAATAATTCATAACACTCTTTAATTACTGTCGATGTAATACTTGTAAGATGACTACAAATACTCTTTAATTACCTTATCTTTAGTCAATGTGAGACTTATAAGATGAGGATTGTCCTCTACTTATATTTTTTAATTTTCTTATTTTTTTAATTGTCTTATCTCTTAATTAATTATTTTTATCTATAGTCAATGTAAAATTTGAGTTTTTCCTAATACACCCCCTCAAGTTTAGTATTATTGAGTTTGATAATGGTGAGTAATCTAATATCAACTTAGAATGGTAAGTTATAGGTCCAACCTAACCCTACAAAATAAACTTGTAAGGTGAGAGTTATCATCCACTCATATACTTTTTAATTATTTTATTTCTAGTCAATGTGACTTAAATTTTTTTTAATAAATAATTGTCGTTAATTAATCATAAATTTTAGTGTGATGTAAATACATTTTTAGTAGTCATTATATATTAGTCATTAATATTTTATTAGATAATAAAATAGAGGTAATTAATTTATTATTGTTAAATAATTATTGGTGATAATAAATTTTTTTATAGTGTTAACTTATAAAATTTTAGCTATTTTTTATTTTATTCTCCCAAAATTTAACTATTTTTATTTTAATCCTCTTAAATTTTATTTATTTTCATTTTAGTCCTCACAAATTTGGTTCTTATAATTTTTAAATTTTCTCCATTAGATAAAAATCTAACTACAATTACAAAAATGAAATAATCTTCGATCGCTTAGCATATAAATGTATGGTAATACTGATAGTTGCGTCAAACATTTATTACCCTCCTTTATTTCTTTTTAATTTTTTTTAGAAGAATTTTATTTTTATTTAGTTATCATTTTAAAAATTTAAATAATATTATTTTTTTATCGACTATACTCTTGTTTTTATTTCAATTTTAATTAATTTACAAATTTACAATTAAGTAATATATTAGGTTAAATGTTTATTATATAGAACTAAAATTTAAAATAAATTATGTATATAAATAAATATTATGTTTGAATATATAAATTATATTAAAAAAATTGTATAAATATATATTTTTAAATATATAAATTATATTTTAGATTTATAATACATAATTTATATTGTGACACAATATTATTTTTATCTATTGATAATTTATTTTAAAAATATTAAAATTTAATTTATAAATAATTATAATAAATAAAAATTAAATTATATATAAAGTTAAAAAATATCTAAAAACTCTATTATTAAATCTTTTAAAAAGATATTCCTTCGATTGTCATTTATGTTTTTTATATATAAATTAATATATATTAATATGAAGTAAAAATTTAAAAGATATAATAAGAAAATTTTAAATTATTGTATGTGTTTATTCGTTTGTGTATAAAAATATTAAAAAGGTAGTATATTTTTCCGTTAAATAGAAAACAAAAATCATAATCATTGCGAGGATGGTTACTGAATTTGTGAGCCTCTTTATGATCATGACGAAACTTTCCCTCCAATGATGTCACTTTTAGAGTTATTTCGCGTAATGTAAATCAATCTTTATGACTATTACCAAACTTTTCCCTCTAATGATATAGTGCCTCTATAATTAATGTTTTAGAAGGCCCTGCACATTAATGAATTTCTGAAGCTCTTTATGTTCCTTACCAAACTTGTCTTCCAAAATGTTGAATGCATATTGGATATATTGCATGTATAAATGTCACCACCAGAAAACAAGATTTGAGACATATTTTCCTTAACTTGAGTAAAAAATGGACATGGTTATGTTTATTGGAGTATTTGCATTCATTCTCTCCGTCGTATTCTTCCAGATCAGGCGGAGACATTATAGAGATGTACCCATTACAAATTGGCCAATCGTTGGTATGCTACCTGCGATTCTCCAAAACATGTCCAATATCCACGATTTCACAACCCAACTCTTGAAAAATCATGGAGGCACACTAATGTTTGAAGGACCCTGGTTCACAAACTCCAGCTTTATCATCACTAGTGATCACGTGAACGTGAACCACATCACAAGCAAGAATTTCAGCAACTATGGTAAAGGGCCTCATTTCAATGAGATTTTTGACGTATTAGGAGGTGGGATTTTCAACTCTGATTTCCAAGCGTGGAAACAAGAGAGGACACTACTTCTTTCACTGTTTCAAAGGGAAAGCTTCAAGATCTTCCTTCAGCAAACCGTTCAGAAGAAGGTGGAGAATTGCCTAGTGCCATTTCTTGACCATGCATCCAAAGCTGGAGCTGAGGTGGACTTGCAAGATGCCTTTCAGAGGTTCACCTTTGACACTGTATGCTCCATCGCTTTTGGACATGATCCTAATTGCCTTCCAGATAAGTTTACTAACCTCTCACACTTTGCTTATGAGAAAGCTTTGCTTGTGATGGAGGATGTAGCATTCCGCAGGCACATCATACCAAGATTTTTGTGGAAGTTGCAGCAACGGCTCCAAGTTGGTCTAGAGAAGAAGTTCAAGGAGGCCAAAGACAGTTTTGAGAAATTCTTGCAAGAAAACATTGCATCTAAACGTGAAGAGAAAATTAGCACCAGAAAAGTGGATGACAATGACACTAGTACTCATTCTGACCTAATAAGAGTGCTGATTGAGGAAGCAGCTGAAAAGGGTCAACCAATAGACGACAAGTATCTTAGAGACACTGCATTTACCCTTGTTGCTGGGGGAAGTGGCACAGTGAGTGCAGCTCTCAGTTGGTTGTTTTGGCTTGTTTCAACTCATCCAAAGGTGGAAGCTAAACTTGTTCAAGAGATCAAAGATAACTGTACCCTAATATACCCAAGTGTGGAAGAGCTTGGTAAGCTAGTTTACCTGCATGGAGCTATATGTGAAGCCTTGAGGCTTTATCCTTCTATTCCCTTTGATCACAAGTGTCCAATAAAACCTGATATACTCCCTAGTGGAGAACATGTTAGACCAAATACCATGATATTGTACTCTTTGTACTCAATGGGAAGGATGGAGCAAATATGGGGTGATGACTGCTTGGAGTTTAAGCCTGAGAGGTGGATTTCAGAGAGAGGAAGCACCATACAAGTTCCATCTTACAAGTTCATATCTTTCAATGCAGGGCCTAGAAGTTGTGTGGGGAAAGACATTACTTTTTCTGAAATGAAGATGGTTGCAGTTGCCATACTAAGGAGGTTTCACGTGCAGGTGGTTCATGGTCATCGTGTAACCCCAAGGCTTTCTGTTGTGCTTAGCATGAAACATGGCTTGAAGGTCAAAGTTACTGAAAGATGCACTTGATGGAACCATTCACTGATCTTCAACTTTCATTTAATTGACTTATGTGTCCCTTGTAACGTCTTTTAAATTACTGCTTGTTTGTGATGGCTAAATAATGTTACGGTTATGTCGGTATGTAATGTATGGGGGGAAATGTAAGCATGTGGCTTGTGTTCAGTTAAATTATTATAAGTAATAAATTCCCCCAAAGTATTCCTTGCCTTTTATCTGTAATAAATGAGTCATTGATTTGAGTAAAATAGTGGGGAAAAGTCTTTATTAAAAATGTTTAAAATTAGATAATTAAATTCTTTTATGTTTATTTTTTTTAATTAAAATAGTGAGAAAAAGTCTTTATAAAAATGTTTAAATTGTATTTTTTGTTTTTTTTTTCTTTTTTGTATGTTTATTGTTTTAGATTATCATGTCTACGAACACCAACAAACTATCACTACAATAAGTTCTCGAGAGAGACAATCATGATAGCTTTCTTGATTGACAAACAAATTTAAAAATTGTCCGTAAGTAAGAAAAAAGTTATTTCTATTCAACGAGTCAAGTCCTAAAGCACTCGTGGCTAATTAATCTTTCTAGGTTGATAAATATGCTTATCAAAAACACACGAACAATATCATAATGTTGCCATGATATAGGAACTGTAAAAGCAGCATGAGAACATGTTTGATATGATCAAACATTTTAAGATTCTCTTTCAGAAGCAAGCAATGCAAGATGGCAAAAAGAGAATTAGTAGAACTTCATGTAATCCAGATGATTTGGAAAATTAAGCGTCTAAAAAGGCTAGATTTTTCCATTAGCCTTAAATTGTCAAATGCTTTGATCTTACTATCTTTGTCAAGCAATTTTAGTCAATTTGTCATTTAATATAATATGAACGACACAGTTAAATTGCTATCAAAGTTTGCTAATATGTTGAGAATTACTAAGTATAAAATAGAAAGAGAAAGAAATACACCATTATGATTGTTCAATATAACAATGGTAAAAGCATAAGTTTAATAGATAGATATAAATATTATATTATGTTTAATAGGTTGATTTTTAATCAAAATATATACTCGTTTTAAAAACCTTAGTTACTATATATTTATATATTATTATGAATTAAAAATTAAAAAAAATTGTGACATTTAAACGAAAAAACAATGAATGTGGTGATGACACGTTACATTTTTCTACGTGACAAAATCTTCATATAATATAATAGATAAATTTTGATTGACGAAACTTTCAAGATAGTTATCACAAAAATAAACTAATTTAGTAATTTATCATGCATGACAAATTATAATTAAATGATAATATAAAATTAATTTATATCGCTGATATATACACTATTTTTTTTTTTTATATTAATTGACAATATTATATATATTTTAAGGTTTATAATATTTTTTATTTTCTTTAAAATGTTTTTGTTTAACTTGTGGTTTTGTAAAAAAAATTTCCCACCGTTAATTTTTTACTGTTTTGTCAGGATGTGTCATGCATATAATGAGAGTTAAATTCACTTAAAAGTTAAAAACAGTGTCCAATTAGGAACCGAAACAAATATATTACATGAACAAAGATATTTAAGTCTAAAAACAAAATAGAAAAATAAGACGTAATTTGCTTGGAACAACTCCTGTAATAAACGGAACAGTAGCGTACAAGCTATTTTGTTCTTTTGCTTGGACGTGATTTGCCCATGATTTATCTTACTTGAATAACATATTTGTACAATATTTTTATAAGATCTTTTTTTTTTTCTCTCTTTTTCATTGCATCACTCATTTTATTCTACATTTTTCTTTCTTCTTTTTAATTTCACGATCATATAAAATACAAATACTTTCTCCTAATCTACAGGGTATGACCAATTGATGACCATGGTTTTAAGAAAACTCGTACAAGCTACAATGCGTGCCCGTTAACTGTTCGTGTACACTTCTTCTATTGTATCCATTGTCTTAAGGCACAAACGTGTTTCCAATTGATTCCTCGCATATTCACATTAATAACTGCCAAAATATGATTTCACTTTCACTTCACCCGTATAAATATCTATGTACTGTTTACTTGTTCCGTATCACACAACCTTTGTGTCTTTCCTCTCTCTGCTTTTACAGAATTTGTCAATTTGCCAACCAGCAGGTTTGTTGTTAAACTACTTAGTGTGCTAACCGTTTTCTGTGTCACCTTTTTTATTTGATAATTTTGCTTTGGGGTTCTGAATGAGCGTTAGTAAACTTGTTCTGTTCAACGGAAATTTTTTAAATAAGATTGCGGTAGGTGGAAAAAAACACAAATTAGTACGATATTTTATCCTCCACAAGAAAAGTACAATTTTTTACATTAAATAAAACCGTCCTAGGCTGCGATTTCCACCGAACGTACTTTAAGATTTTTTGGAATTAGCTGCAATTATGGCTATCAGTGTCCGTATTAACCGACAATTTCTTGCAATGATATCAAAGACCCACAAACTTACAATTGCAACCATAAATTCTCTGAATTGTTCTTGTATTTTTTTTTTTTTTTTATCTCATATACTAATGGACTATAGATAAAACAATAGTAGTGTTTATAAGTACAAAATAATCTTCATATAATATATGATTAATTGTGAACATTTATTATTGTAATTTTATGTTTGAGATATCCAATTTTTTATAAACAAAAAATATGTTAGAGGTTTTACATCCGTCAGAGATAAAACTATGATAGTGTATATAAATAAGAAATGATTTTTATTTTACAAGTTAATTGTGTAGAATTGAATTAGACACAATCTATATTTTATGAAATTCTTTTGAAACTATGATAATACCTAAAATAATTTTGTTTCTTCAACAAAGTTTCTTTTATACACAGCTATGAAGTTTAACTCCATGTTTAAGGAAGCCAACTTTAACGCATTGGAACTTGTTCGGAGTTATCTTGTATTTTAGTATAATAAAGGGAAAAATATAATAAGATTTAGACATGTAGCTTGAAGCAGGATGATTATTGGTTAGCTTTGTTCTCTAATTGATATATATATTTTTTTAATATTTATTTATCGACTTGTAATTTTATGACTTAAAGTAATAATAGCCTCAAAATATTTCTCATTAACTTCTATTTCTGTAATGGAATGCTTGCTTGTCTTGGGTTGTGAAGAAGTTTCTGTGTCTTTCAAGTATATGCTAATAACAATGTTTTCTGGCATTTTTAATGACAGAGTGCAGGATACAATGAACACTATAACCTCCCACCACTGTAGTACTAATATGGTTCCTTCTTTAGGATGTTATGGCCATTATTCTCCCTCAAGAGTATTAGGTTTCAATGATGTTGGATACAAATCTCATAGATGTCACCAAAGTGCCAGGAAATGTAGACCAATCTTTTGCAGTTCAGTGAATGACAGTATGAATCCCAGTGACCCAGATGACATTGATAAGAACAAATCTCATAATGCTGAAAGTGGAGGAGTATGTTAACTTCTTAATTTCCTTCTCTGTAATTTATCAGTGAAAAATATTTTACCACGTATTTATTTCTTTACATTAATAACTTAAATAATGGTTGAAGCTTCTTTTCCAATTAGATTATATACTTGGTGTCTGTCTAACTAAAAATAGTAAAGAAGTTTGTTACTCTTCCAATACTGTTGATACAACTCTGAATCTACTCTTTTCTGAAATATGGTTCAGATAAATAGTGAGCTGCTTAGAGAGAATCTTGATAAAATAGTTGGTAAGGATGATTCCACATTTACTGGGTTTGAACTTGCTACTCTCATTAGGAACAAATATGGGAGGTCTTATGATGTTCAGTTGGTAAAGAAGGTATGTTTTTTAACTAGTGAGATTACATGCAAGATAAAGTTCCTTAGTTTTTGCATATAACAAACTTGACCTATAATCCCAAGCAATGTTCTCTCAAACTAACGCTGAGGAAATGAGGGGAATTGTTCACTGTTCAGCACTTTGTTGGATATTGTGCATTGCTGTTTCTTCTGAGACAGAATTGTTATTGACAGTGGTTTGTGTATGCGGTTAATCATTCATATGCTGACAGCTGAGCAATGTTATATTATCACCTCTTTCCTCCAGATTGCACTTGTTTATTAGGCATATGCATTAAAATACTGAAACTTGTGCTCTATTTCATACTTTGCAAAAGTTGATCAAGTTAACAGTACATATTATCATTTTCTCCACCTTTGTGCATTTATACTTGTAACTAATATGATTAAAGTTAAGAAGTAATTGATAATAAACAGATAGGAGTGTTTATTACCCTACATTTAGTTTAACAAAAAGTTTTTGTACTGTCCAATAAACATGTGTATGCCTACTATAATGATATTGAAATTATTCACTGGCACAATATCGTTTCTGTGGGAACAGAAAGAAAACAATATTTAAGGATGTCTCGTGAATTATGAAACTCTGTCTCATAAATTAAATATAATGACCATATTTTATTACATTGTTAATACATTGCTAATATCATTGGCCCAACATTTTTTAGTATCCATGTTCTAGATTGTTTCTGTATTATTCAATTCTTGACTAAGAATTGAAATTTGATATTAATATATGATGGTAGTTTCTTCTTTTCTTCAACATTTGGAGCTCTACATCAGCTCCTTCCAATGTGCTTGATTCTTTGTAATTGGATTTATTGTTAATTGATTAACACATTTCAGACCCAGATGTTTCTCTCTCCTATTTATTTTAATAGGTTGGTTTAATTTCCTCGTTTTGTTGTTTCATATTGACTAGGAATTCATGGGGAAAAATCTCTTTGCTCTGAATGTCATGTGGAAGTACATGGAACAGGTATTACAATTGTGTGCTACACTCTGGTTAATTTGTTTAGGGATACAATATTAAAGTATATTTTTTATTTTTGTGATGAAATATGCAACATGATGAGATAATTATCAGAAAGAAGATTATTCAACAGGGAAACCTGCTCAGAGGTTCTGTTAAAGGTTGTTTTGCTGTCATAGGTAGATTATATTGGTAGGCTCATCCAAATTGAATAGTTTTCAGAGAATTCATTCTATATGTGGTTTTCTTGTATTTAACCTTAATCATGACCTTAATTCATGGATTGGATGATTAAGTGCATATTTGGTTTACTTTGAGGAAATAATTGCTTATCTTTAACAGCTTATCAAGAGATCATTTTGAAAAAACGCAATTATTCCCAAAAATTTAATCATTTACAAATAACAACTAAAATAAATAACTCTGATCTTCCTCTGTTATAATTGAAAACGCTGCCTATTATGATAGTTCAAATAACTGAGTGGTTCCCTCAACGTACAACATCACTATAAGGTAGTTTTAAAGGCCTACAGTGTTTTCTTTTTTATTCATAAGAATAGCAAGAAGTTACTGTACAATAACTCTTACACACTACTCAACCAAAAGTAAGTTAAACCTCTGGTTATTAAATTGGTTACAAGTAAATTGGTTATTCAATGATATTAGAACCGGTTATGGAATTGTTTGCACAGGTAGAAATTATTCATGTAAAACTAGTGTGTCAATTGATTATTTTTGGTTTTAGAGATCCTTTCCATTGACTGAAGAAGAGTACATTTTGAGGCTTGACAATGTGGCAGACACATTAAAATGTTGGGGAGCTGTCTCACATATTCGGAATAGCTTAGCAAAGTCTAAAGAACGACCTCGTATAGGAAAGGTAATATCATGCTCTTCTACACTTCAATTTGAATTAGGATATAATTTTCAAAACTAAATTTATTATTTTCTTTTTCTGGATAATATTATCACAAAAAAACACTGTAGTGTATCCTCTGATTAGTTTATTTTCTGTTTTCTGGGTGTCAGGCCAATCTATATACTAAAAAGTAAACAAATAATCTAAAAAAAAGGAAGATAATAAATTGTCAGACAAGACAGAAGACATAAACTTGAAACACACCAAAATAAAGGCTGCTTAATGCCAAAAATGCTCTACGTGTCAAAGGTAGGGTTGGCAAAGACCTATAACCTGAACTCGAACACGATAAAACTGAATAGAAAAGATGATATTTGGATGAATTCAGGTGAATTCCGGTTTGAAGGTGATAGACAAACACTACATTAAGAAAATGCTAAGAAAGATAACACTTCAATTCATTATTTTAAAATTCCAATCAATCATCAAAACTGATCACACTATTAAGTGAAAGGTTGAATCTATGGTTATTAGTTAAATCATATGATTTACTCTTTAATAATTTTTCAAAAAAATTTATATCATATATATATATATATATATATAACTTATAAATTTTAATAATATCTATTCTATATTTTAAAAAATTCCAAAAAAATTATAATTAATATAGATTAAACTACATAAATTAATATAATTAAATATATAACTTTAAATTAAAAATATATTATATAAATTATTTAAGTCGATATAATTAATGATTATTAAGGTGTTAAGTTTTATCTAAAATTATGTTTTTATTTTTTTATGAAAAAGTATTTTGTTATAAAAAAATTAATCAAAAGCACTACACTTGACAAAAAAAAAATTATATATATATATATATATATATATATAATCAATTAAACTTGTGTGAAATGGTGTAGTGGACACTGGTGCAACCCAAAAGCACCACGATTAGAGTTTGACTCATTCGTTACAATTTTGATGTGGTATTTTTGCAATATTTGGCTTTTAATCACAAATCATGAGATGCTAGTGGCATCAAAAATCACGAGACGCCAACAGCAGCATGGGACCCATCAACAAGACGCATCTGAAGGCAACAATAACAAGATGCTAGGCTGTAATATGTAAATCACATTAAATCACAACTAATCCATCAATCTAAATTGATCCAAATTAATTTAATAAATTTGAATTAAATTTTTTAATGTTCAAATCAAATTCAATTCAATCTGACCATAATTTGTTACTGTACAAGTCGAATTAATAACGAGTTTTGTGTTTTCAACTTTACCCAACCCAACTCGATCATATATTATAATAATAATATTTAAATGATCATTTGTTCAGAATAATACTCACTATCACTCATACTTAGTAATGAGTTTTGTATTTTAGGTTGGTAGCATTGTAATAATATAATATATTTATTTTAAATTTTATTTTGTATTGATAAATGTTAGTTTTTTTAGTTGATAATAATGTAACAAATTAATTTTATTTTAGAATTTAATTTGTATCATTATTTTCTTTATAGGTTGATAACATTATATCTACAATAATGTATCGAATGATTTACATCTATTTAGAAATATTTAAATTATACAAAAATAAATAAATTTAATTATATTGACCCGATTAACTAAACCCAACTCAATCAATCCATGATTGAGTTAGGTTGGACTGGATTAAAAAAAAAATTGCACAAACCCGCCAACCCAACTCGTTAAATTTTGATTGGGTCGAGTAACAGGTTCATTCAAACCCGACCCAACCCAACTCGCTCACACCCCTACAAGATGTGCCATATGGTTTTAACCAGTTTAATGACATCACCTCTGAGTCAGATGTAAAACCAATCAAAACATCAACTCGAATTGGTGTGCTTGCCCAAGTCTTGGTCAGACCAGTTCGACCGGCCAATCTTAGCCAGATTTTAAAACTATTATTGAATTACCATCATCGTACCTCCACACAAGGTGATACAAGAGTATATATGATAGTTAACCGGCCAAACATTATGGGCCAAGTATTATGGAAAATACAAAATATGTCCATAGTCCAACAACTCATTAACCCACTATCAAATTATAGAACCAATTGGGATGGATTATCTTATGTTCTGGCATGCTCACAAATAAAGGCCTCCAAATTAGCAAGCACCTTGTCCTCAAGGTCATGAAGCGACTTGTAGAGATTGATGGACACATCAGACATGCGGATCAGGGACACATCTAACTGTGAAAAGAGTGTTGTGTTTCTTGGAAGGAATCCAAGGGTGCCAACATGGAGCACATACGTTAAACAACATTAATAATTGTTGATAGAAGGACTTGCAATTTCGAGGAAAGTGTGTGAGAAAACAATGAAGAGTTAAGTGCATTCAAACCCTTTGAATTTGAAATGAACAATTGAGATAGGAGTGGAATAATGTGTCAATGTGAGAGAGACTCTAATGTAAAGGTTAAGTGACAATCAAGAGTCTCCAAAGGGTCAGTTGGAAGTTGAGAGGGAAATGGTAAGGCAAGAGACTTACAGGAGAAGAATAGTTCTCATTTAGGGTTTGGGGTGTTTTAGTTAATGGGAGTGGTTCAAGAGGAAGAGGGTGATAGTGACAACTGGGTTCAGTACCATGATAAGGATTAAGTTTGGAAACATGGGAAACAAGGTGGAGGAGGGTGGTGGTCAAAAGAGAAAGCTCATATGTAATAGTTTTGATTAGGGATGGCAAAACGGGCCAGCCCGCCCCGTTTTGGCTCCCCCCGCCAAAAACGGGCCGGCTCGCCAATGTAA